GAAAAGTACTATATATTCGATAGGTTACTTGTTTATTAAAGTAATTTGTAATTTAGATTATTTAAGCTATTAGTGACTAAAAAGTACGATATATTTTATTATCGATTAATGGTTGTTGCTAACTAGAGAATAAAGATCTAATAGTTATATTTGATAAAGATCTAATAGTTATATTTGATAAAGATCTAATAGTTATATAGTTATATTTGATAAAGATCTAATAGTTATATAGTTATATTTGATAAAGATCTAATAGTTATATTTGATAAAGATCTAATAGTTATATTTGATAAAGATCTAATAGTTATATTTGATAAAGATCTAATAGTTATATTTGATAAAGATCTAATAGTTATATTTGATAAAGATCTAATAGTTATATTTGATAAAGATCTAATAGTTATATTTGATAAAGATCTAATAGTTATATTTGATAAAGATCTAATAGTTATATTTGATAAAGATCTAATAGTTATATTTGATAAAGATCTAATAGTTATATTTGATAAAGATCTTATATTTAATTAATTCGACATCAGTAATTTGTACCTCTTCACAAGCGAGTTAGCTCTATTAATGATTAATGCATATTTTATATTATAGTGAAATTATATATATATATATTATTATAAGCTACACCACCCTATACTTTGTATTTATGTTATGTTGTTACTAATGTTTATAATTAGATCTTCGCTTAATAAATTACTAAGAAACGACAATATTGCATCGTTATATATTCAGATAAAAACAACCAAACAAACAGCACTTTTACAATATATACCTATATTTCAAGTTATAATCTGTAGAGTGCCCACAAAGAAGGTGTGAAAATGTGGGCGTATAAAAACGTATAGTCGATCTTGTGCCGAACGTACGAGTAAACGGACTAGTGACATTTAACTGACGGATTTAAGTGGAATTCTTTATGACGACAAACCCTTGAAATCAACATTCGGTCATGTGACATTTCAGTAACGATGAGGTTTTAAAGTAATTTCATGTACTGTAATTTAATTTGTTCAGATAATAAATTATCCCAAAATACATGTTCATTTTTTAGATAAGTGTCTATTATTGGTAAACCTGTCTATTATTTTCAATAAATATGGACAGTTTTATAAATAATAGACGATTGTTTAAGAAAAGCGTACATTCTCTTATATACTGGTGACGTCATATCTATGTTTTATGTTTAATTATTAACTACTATATATACTGTACATTTCCACCCATTATATTTTATTATACTTATATAATATGTATGTGTTTGCCATTACAACTATGTATATACACCCATTTTGCATTAACCATATATATATAGAGGATATTTGTCGTTTTAGAGTGAATAACATATTTTATTTCATCGAGAAGCAAGAAAACTTATATTTTCACGAATGCGTAGCATGAGTGAAAATATAAACGTTTTCTTGCTTAGAGATGAAATAAAATATGTTATTCACGACAAAACGACAAATGTTCTATTTATTTTATGATAGGTAAAAACAACATGGACTACTGCTAGCCAGTGGAATAACACTTTTATTTCACTGATAAAACGCGGTATTCCACTACTGATCATAAAATAAATATATATATACACTATACTGTCTATCTTATACAATGACATTATTTATGTCCCAAGACGGACGAAAAGTACTTTAAAATGTTATTAAACCAGTGTTGAAATCAGTTTTTGTCGGCATACTTTTTATCTTTTCATCGTTTACCGTGAAACAAAGTAGTGCAGCTTTACGGTTCTGCTAATATTTCTGGATATATATATATATATATATATATATATATATATATATTATCTAGGGAGAGTGGCTTTACATAGACTAAGCCTGTTCCCCAATCCCATTCAGACAACCTGAATAAAAACATTGTTTAAAAAACAAAAATTTGAAGCAGATCCTGATAATGTTTTTGATCATGGATGAGACCTGTTTTAAAAATGAAAAAGGAACTAGCCGGTCGCCATTTTCCCAGTAATGATGACGTCATATCAGCTGTGAACGACTTTTTTTGGGTGGCTGAAGAAAATGTCTTCCTGATTGGCATCCAGGCCCTGTGTAGACCTCAAAGAGGACTATGTGAAAACAAACTAATGGAAACCAGTTACTTTGTAAAGGCCCTGTGTTCACAAAGCGTCCTCAGACTTAAAGGACAATATTGGTGTCAGTCATTATAAAATATGTGATAGAACTGGTTAAATACATTCCAAATATTATTTTAACACGGAGATCATTGCTACGGGAGATGTGTAACAAGCACGTGAAGAAACGGGAAGTGACGCCAAACATGACAAACAAGTTGAAAAGTTATTATATGGGACGGTGGGAGGGTATCTCACAATTCAAAAATAGAATTGGCTGTCACTAGATAAGGGAAAACGATAAAAATAGAAAAAAACCCGTGCATTCCCCCGTTTTTATTCATTCTGTTCTTAATAAAAACATGGTAATGCCCGGACTTTTTCTAATTTGTTCGTTATCTTTTATCTAATGAGAGCCAATACTTTTTTGAATTGTCAGATATCCTGTCACCGTCTCATATAATAACGTTTCATCTTCAACTGAATTATTAGTGAAATGAAATTCGATCGCGTGTCTGTTATCGCTCGTTACTTCATTCAGTTATATAGTAGGATAACTCGTGTTTGTCATGTTTTGTCGTCACTTCCGGTTTCTTCACGTGCTTGTTACACATCTCCAGTAGCAATGATCTCTGTGTTAAAATAATACGGCCTACTCATATTTTGAATTCCAACTGTCAAGGGTATTTTTACGTGCACGCTAAAGTCTACACGGAACCTTCAATATCACAAAGCTGCGACTTTAAAGTTTTTTAATTTAAAGAATAAACGGAGATACCGTCAGGCAGCATTAATGTAATTTAGTTGAAATTATGTAATTTCTGATTTTAGGTCGATCTGGAAAGTACGATATAACAACGTGATGTTTACAGCGAAGCTAATTATTGTGTGGTGGCTTGTTTTACCAATCTGTACAACTGAACCTTTAACCAAAGATGTAAACAACGTCACCAGCCAACCAGTTAGCCCGAACAACAAGCCAGACAACGTAACCTTCACAGCGGTTGATAATATTTCCTACGCTTTTCAGCTGAAAACTTACAATGGCGCTTATCGTATAGAAATCCACACCGATATAGTCGCATTAGCAAAAAAACATCCTCGGTATTGGACTGTGGATCAACTAATCCAATATTTTCCCATTGTGCGCCTACTAGCATGCAATCAACAATGTATAGGTGAGACGAATATACCCCTGGAGGAAATAAAAATGGCGGATGATATTAGATGTGAGCCGTGTTATTGTGACGAATCGTGCAGTGTTTACGGCGATTGCTGTGGTGCTGGTGCAAGGGCGTCACCCAAAAAAGATGGACAGCAATGCATAAACAAAATCAAAGACACGACAATGGAGAAAGGATTGCTAATGATGACGTCATGTCCTGACAACTACACCGACGATGAAGTGCGAGATTTATGCGAACTGCCATCAGATGGCTGTGGTATATTGCCTGTGACGTCATCAAGTGGGGTGACATATTTGAATAGATATTGTGCTGTATGCAATTATGATAAAGATTATAATGACTGGCAACTTAATATGGAAGCCGGTAACAACAGACTTGACTTGAGCGACGTGATAACGGATGTGTTCACGTGTAAACGACGTACTTACATAAAGCAGCCTTCCTTAGTACAGAACAGGGCAATCCAAGCAAGCACATGTGACCCCGGTTTGGTAACCCGATGTCCAACACCTCTATTTTCAAGGGCTGATTATAGCGAAATAGCACAATTCCAGAAATTAGAGAAATTAGAGAAAAGTTACCAATCAAATTGTCATCGACTCTATGATCCTATACACACTTCAAAAGATAGGAATTTTTTGAATATTTTCTGTTATGTTTGCCGAATCTATTACAACAGCCTACGGCCGGACATAACCGGTTTAACAAACCTTAAACTTGATGTTTTTCATCCTGTTTCAGTTTATCACCATGTCGAGCGGGTTCATCAAATAGAGTATAATTCAACGGAAAGGTGCAGTCCTCCTGACGACTGGTTTCATCCGTATCAGGTAAGTTGTAGTTATGAATCTATCCCCAGGGGGAGTAGAGTCACCTGTCCAACCTCGTGGGTTTTCTCCGGAACCTCCAGTTTCCGTCCACTACTAAAGACCCCTACGTGCAAGCGAATTATTGAAATAAAATTAAACCATGTATTAGTCCAGAAATGGCCTAGTTTGTCTCTCCCTCTCTCTCTCTCCAGAGGGAGCCACCATGGCTAAGTGAATAAGGCACTGGTGGTCATGGGTTTTTTACCGGCATTTCCCGCGAAACTTCCTCGGACAGCGCCTTGAAAAACCGAGGCCCCGTGTGTATCCGTTCGCATGGACGTAAATTAACCCCTGACAGTTGGAATTCAATAGCTGGGGCTTGCTGCCAAGAAGGACGTTAAGCCCAATTTGATTCAACAATTCCTATCCCTAGAAAAACGTTAACAGTGAGCGCCCCACCACACCCCATTGGACTAGTTACTTCTTAGCATTTAAAAGCCTCTACAGATTTGATTTGTTTTAATCTCACCTTATTATAATTCCAGAAAAGATGTTATAGAATGTTTTGCTCAGATTGGTTAGTACTTCAAGCTGGTGAATGTGTTCCCATGCAAGGTGACCGTGAGTTATTGTACCACGTACTTATTACAATAGACGATGGTCTCGACAAATCACAAATGGAACGTTTAACAAATCGTATACAAAAGGATTTGCGGACGTTGCGGATTTCCAAATATGTAATAGCTGTCGGAATACTTGACGAAACAAATGCGAATTATTCGTCTATCCGTTTATACTTTGCCCTCTACTCTTTTCATTTCAAAACCTTATCAAAATTATTATCTTTTGTTCATGAAAATTGGACGTTTGGTCAACAAATAACATTCGATTCGATTTTATCGCAGAGTTGGAGAACGTTACAAGAGATCGTTTCTGATGCTTTGTTGCTAAGTTGCTGTAAGCAAGAAAAGTTTGATGATTCCCATTACAGTTCGCCTGTTGAACTAAATGATCAATATGTGTGCCCCCATGTATTGCAAAATGGCTCTGAATTTGAAGACGTTGGCAATGGCTCTATAGCATTGTTCAATACAAGTTTAACATTAAATAAAGGGCAATATTGGAATGGTCCCAAAGGTTTTATTAAGATCTGTGTAGATACGCTTAATGACAAGTGGCAGTTTTATTTACACCAGAGTAACACTGAATCACCTTCGGATGAATATCTCAACATAAACAACACAAAACTGGAATCTTCCCGTGCTGATTTTGAACACATGTTCTCCATTTTCCAATTAACTATTCTTGTCGTATCATTACTTCCGTTATTTCTAACATTTCTAACATATTGCATCTTCCCTGTTCTGCGGACATTGCCTGCACAAAACAACATGGCGCTCGTCGTCTGTTTGTTTCTGGCACAACTGTTGTTGGTGATCGGAAGCTATCTGACGACAGACACTATTATTTGTAAAATATTTGGCGTACTTATTCATTATTCGTGGCTTTGTGTTGTCTTTTGGATGAATGTCTGCTCATTTCATATGTTTTCGGTGTTTAGGGCACCAAAGGCTAGAAGCTCACGTTCTCCTAAACGAATGATAAAATACGTGTTGTACACTAATGGCCTATCCTTGCTTATAGTTGTTATGGTGATTGCCTTGTCTTTAGTTTTTTACGGTACTATTGGTTACGGCAGAAGGCAATGTTACTTAGATAAAACACTTTTAGTAGGCGTGGCCTTTATCTTGCCCCTGTCTTTAGTTATTGTCTGCAACCTAATTTTCCTATCACTAACAATATTCTCGATCAACAAGACCTCTAAAATGGCGAGTCTTGCTGGAAAAGATCGGCATCATGCTAAGGTCTATATCAAACTATCAACCGTAACCGGTATCTTCTGGACAGTCGATATCCTCTCGAACTTTTTCTGGCGTGATCCTTTGAGGATCATATCCACTATCTTGAACTACAGTCAAGGTATTTTTATTTTTCTGTCTTTTATGGCAAATAGACTAATTGTCAAATTATGGCTGGGTCTGTTTATAAAAGAAACCCATAAATATGTGCCTGCGACACCAAATGTTAGCAATAGCCCGAAATCTGTAACAACCACACAACTATCCTGCGATGACAATAAAAATTAAAGTGATCCAACTTAAAGGTGCATTATGTAAGATTTAGATAATAGTTTAAAAATAGATAATGAAAAGTGAATATATTGAAAATTTCAGTCAAATTACTTAATTCGGGAAAATAGCGAAGTCTCGATTGTCATTGCTACAGTTGTACGATAGTAAACAAGTCTTGATTATCCATTTTTTTTAATAAGTTATTAAACGACTAACTTTTTTCAATCCACTGAAAATCGCGAGCATCCGATGTTCTAGAGAGTTGACTGTGGTCTTGTCATGTTAATAAATGTCTTATTAATAATTTATATAAACATTTGAGGACAAAAGAAAGACCTGCAATAAGCAGATTTAGCTCTTACATAATGCATATTTAATTCAGCATTGACTTTCAATGACATTTATATATATTAAACCGTTCCTAAATTTATATGCCGTAAATAAGAATGAAGCCATAACGTTTGGTAACCAAGGATAAAGTGCTATATTTTGTATTTGAGTTTTTTTGATATACCGTCAGTAATATAAATACACTGTTTATTTAGAGTTATGGCAGATTGTTATTGTATATTGAGTTAATTCGATATATAGTTACGTGTATTACCATATTATGTTTTTGCATGTTGAGTTAATTCGGCATTTAGTTAATACTATTTTATTTTTTGCATGTTGAGTTAATTCCGTATATAGCCATTACCATATTATGTTTTGCATGTTGAGTTAATTCCGTATATAGCCATTACCATATCATGTTTTTCAAGTTAATTCCGTATATAGTTATTACCATATTATGTTTTGCATGTGGAATTAATTCGATATATAGTTAATACCATATTATGTTTTGCATGTTGAGTTAATTCGGTATATAGTTATTACCATATAATAGTTTGTATATTGAGTTAATTCGTTATATAGTTAATATCATAATATGCTTTTCTGAATGTTGAGTCAATAGTTATCACATTTCGCATGTTGATTTTATTCAATATTGTATCGAAATTTTGCTGGTTTGTTCGATATAGGAAAACCAAACAACGTGTTTTAAATAAAATTGTCTTAAACTCGATTTTAATCTTTATGCTGGCAATGCACAGTTCCGTTTCTCCGAACATCACCACTGAAGGAAAATGAATCTGGTAGGAATGAGAAGAAATTTAACGTTCAACTTTTCTGCATCGTCCGGGAAAATAAAGACCGACATAAGCCATGCAGTGTGCTATGAGGGGTACATTGCCCAGGCTACGGTGCTTCTTCCTACACTTCGTCGAATGCTAATGGCTTTTTTACGTGCATACAAATGTGTACATAAGGCCACGTATTTTTTCTGCAAGAAGACTTATGGTTTTTATGGCCGGGACAAGGGGTAATATACACGCAAAATAAACTAGGCCTTTTTCGTGTAAAGTTCCATACTTTGCTTTTTTTTTTTTTAAAGTGATAGGAAACCGAAAGGCCCGGGGAGAACACACGAAGGTAGGCAGAATACCCTGTTCCTTGCCATGTTCCAGTGAGGGATCGAGACCACGCAACTTGACTTAATGATAGACACTATGATCTATTCGGCCACGTACACCCCACCCAAACAATCTGGATAAACACGCAGAGCACACGACACAGATTTTTCATGACGTACGTTTGATCAACGATTGTTACAATCTGGTTAAAATACAAATCTATATTTCGTTTCGGTTTTTTTTTATACTTTCGATGGCCTACACTACATAACGATCTGGCCGGTTGTACCCAAAGGTCGTGTCAGGGGTCGTACGAGCGGCTTTTGACCCTATGACGTCAGACATTGATTAATCAATCAGCGTTGGCGTTTCTAGTTGTTTACCCACAGTTCCGTACATGGCACGCCAAGAAGACGCCGTAGCAGACTGTTTCATTGGCTTATCTCTCACTTCAACCAAAACGCCGGTAATATAACAACTCTTCGAGTAAAACGAAATTTTGAACTGTAAAAAAAAACGAAACGAAATTGTCTCTGTGTTTTAATCAGATTATTAAACAAAATGATGCAGTTCATAGTAGTATGGTTTTATTTCAATATTACCAATGTATTTCAATTCTGTGTTATTTTTAACAGTTGCAATTATAGACGGGACTTGATTAAAATCAAAAATAACACTCAATACAAACAGTTTTAAATTTAATTTGAGCTACACGTAGGCGACAATACTGTGTTGTCTTGAACAAATTTTAACGTGTTGTTTTGATTTAAATTTGAAGAGAAGTTTTTATTTACAAATACACCAAGTCTCTGGGGCCAATTTTAAGGAAAATATATATATAGGCACCACCGTGAACTGTTGAGCCTAGAATTCTGAAAATATATTTTTCGGTTGTCTGGTTGCTCTTATAGGGCCCCAGAGATTTATAGTATCCAACAAGTCAATAAAAAAAATAATAAAATTCACCAAGTGACTGTCTTAATTACTAAACCATACAATGGGAAATAACCCCTGCATTATTTTCCACAAAGGGAGGCAACTCCTCTACACTATATGCATCATTGACTACTTGTATATTTATACTACACACAAGACTAGAAAAGGGTCTAGCTAACTAGCTACCAATGTTAGTAATTTATATATTCATATTAATAACCAGAACAATTGTTTGTGTTGGCTTAAATTCATGATACACTGTGTTACCACACCCATAGAGATCACCACTTTGACAATATTCTTACATGATGAGGGGTGGGGGGGGGTTCTAAAAGGATGTGGATATGCACCTCTTAAAAAATTGAAATTCTGTTGGGTCTTGTTTGATCTCAAATCTAATCTCTCATTCTTCACTATGTGAATATTAAACCCAAAATGAAAAATACCAGCATTCTTAATGCAAAGAATCATTTAATCTAAATAAAGGAGATAAGATTCAAGTCCTGAACAATAAATACACAGGACCCGAATCTATGGCAAGCCAAAGCAGAATTAATTGCAAGACTGTTTTTCTGTATTGTATATAACAATTTTTTCATCACCTTCCAAGCATTTTTTTCTGTACAAAACGACGTATATCAATAAAGATTATTTATTTCCACTGCTGCTCTTGTATTTTGTTATAGTCAAGTCAATTATACTGTTCACAGAAATATTTTATCACTATATTCGGTTTTTATAAACAATTCAACAAAATTATTTTTCACATGTCAAGACGAAAAATTTCACATGTCAACACATGTTATATACTCGATTTTTTCTCTTTCCATGCAGAAAAACGGTCTTGCAATTAATTTCGCTTTGGCTTGCCATACAAATCAATCAACTGGTCTGTAAGAATAGCACAGCGATGTATATGAGAATGGTGTATATAAAGGTATAGTATAAAAGTATATTAAATGGTTTTATATCATACAACATATTTACTAAATAAATCCATATACACCAGCATATAATTGCACTTAACTTGTTCACACCACAAAAAGTTTATATTAAGGTTGCTTGCACATTTATTGGCATTTCAAATAGCTTGACATCACTCTGTATAAAAATTCAAATTTTAAATAAAATATTTCAAGGATGTAGTCTTTTCTTTGTCTGAGCCTCATCATACTAGTTGAGATTTTAATTCATAATTCGTAGTGAATAAAAAGATCACAAACTTAAAACATTTTAGTTTAAGAAAAGATAACAAAGCAATTCTGTGATGCGAACATAAATGATGTACTTTGTTTATAAATATCGCTTGCGTGTTTCAAAAAATGATTATATGCTGTGAATTAATTATGCCACTGACAATACAATTAATTAATATCATATAAAAACAAATTAACATTATGTAAAGCCTGAAACTATCAACAAATTAAATATAGTTTGGCACATAAGCTTTAAACAAGACAGCTCTAACAGCAATACTTGAAAAAAAAAAAATAATCTAAAAAAAGAAATTTTGAAATTAAGTATGATTTATATAGTTGAACAGTTCCGTGAAACAGACCAAATATAGTTCAAGTATTTCCATAGTGAGATTAGTAAATGGAAAATATTTTTTGGTATAAAAATGACACCAGAAGTAATTAAGAAAACCTTGGCAACCGCGAAATCATAAAAAAGGGAAATAACCCTATCCTAGTGTTCTAAGGTAGGTAAATGCAATATTGGCTGTCTTATCACCTGTAAATCCACAAATGAGACCAGTTAGTGTTCATCTTTTTCTGTTACATTTTACAGTATTGAAAATTAAAAACTGGCCTTTCACATTGTTTTGAAAAAAAGAAGAGAGAATTGATGTTTTAAAAAAGACAGGAGAATTGATGCTGCCTGAGATAGGTCTTGTAAATATTTCCATCACAAAATTATATAAATAGAATATTATTTATCATTATTGAATGAGCACACTACACAGAATTCTTTAAGACAATACGAAAAAATTATGATAAATTACATATCATACACACAGGTTATGACTTAACTGTTCTCATTTTAACATCGAACTGGAGCAACTCATGAATAGATAATGCTTTGATTTACGTTCGGATGGGACGAAAAACAGAGTATAACAATGGCAGTTAAAATCAAAGATCCACGGACCAGTTAGCGAAAAGCCACAATGCTGCTGTTGAAGCAAAATTTCCCTCGTAGCACAATTCATGGCAGTTGCCTGTCTGCATTAGCCTAGTCGGTGCAGAAAGTAGGATGCTAAACCCCATTTCATTTCAGTTCTGAAACACATTCATATTGTAGCAAAGGGATAAAATTGATTATCCAGGATGTTGTAACAATTTAATGAGTTACAATTCAGTAATATTAGTGTATAGTAAATTAATATGACATTATTATTGGTATTAAAAAAGATGGTTGAGTTGGGATTATTTTTTTACAATTTGTACACAAATAATTAACAATAATCTAGTAAATACAATATTAATAAGCTATACACAATAAACCATATGTTTATTTACATCTATAATACATGGTATATCGGCACACAGTACAAAGTAAATCAGTAAATTATCTCCCCCTGGTCCAAGCTGAAAGATGTAACCCTATACAAAAATATTCGGAACCTTTATCAAAGAATCAAAAGTTATATGGATTTTCGTAAAATCTGATTTAAAGGTTCATGATAGGATATATACTGAATGATATCTAACCAACAGTACGATCTAAAATCTAGCGGAAAGGTCCTAACAGGTTTATTTCAGCCTCAGGTCTCTTGCGTATTTTTGTACCCTTCACTCAGCCCAAAACAAGTGAGGACAATCTAAAATCTAGCTGAATATGGCCCTCTAAAGACAATGCTAGCCAAAGGCATCTTCATGTTTGACAACACTTCACTCAACCCAGATGAGGACAATCTACTGAATTAACTTATTCCATTAATACATATTTTTTTGGTTTATTTTTCTTGTACATTATTTTAAATCCAACACAAAAAAACCCACGCACATCTAAAATCATTAACGTAAAAATAAGCAAACAAACAAATTACATGTTAAAATCATCATAAATTGTTTTATCCTCTTTTATTATTTCATTATTTGTTATTTCTTCATGTCACAATCAGTGACTTCAGTAATTAATTAGTATTATGATTTTATAGAATTAGTCCACACACAAATAAACTAACAAAATGCAAACAAATTAGAACAAATACAAAATAAATACTTTAACGAGTATGTATGTTTGTGCAATTTACCAATCTCTATTCCTTCTTTAATCAACAATTTTTATTCCTTCATAGTTTAACAATTTTTATTCTTTCGTAAATTAACCATTTTTTATTCCTTCGTAAATTAACAATGTTCTTTCCTTCGTAAATTAACAATGTTCTTTCCCTCATAATCTTACAAATTTTATTCCTTCGTAATTTAATAATTTTTATTCCTTCCTTCATAGTTTAATAAATTTTATTCCTTCACTCATTGCACTTTGTTTACAGTACTGAATTAGGATTACTTGTCCTCGACCTTCACAAGAAAAACTGCATATTATGATTCTATTGTCTAAAAACTGTCATTTCTCACGGCAAATGTTGTTTGTATTTACCTCTGTATGGGCTAATTTGAGCAACAGAAAATCATTTCATGGTTAATTTGAAAAGACCTAAAAAAACTCATTGTCCAGAGAAAAATATGTCATTTTTATTAAAAAAAATTATCCCAAAATAATAAAAGAAATATTGTGATTTAACATGTGAAATTTCAAATAAATCGTGATTTTCATCCAAAATAGATTTACCAGTGTATAAAAAGACCCTGTGTTGAACTCATATCAACTTGATAATTCACAATAAATATATGGTAAGTACACAATGAAAACAAAAGATATATATATATATATATAACATACATGTAGATATAGACAGAAGAATGTGATAGTTTGTAATATACAGCTATATATAGTAACATGTTATAGTGGTCAACAAAGTATATTAAAATATGTATTAACAACAAAAAATCCTTATTTGGTAACAATTACGTTAGCTTGAAAATACTTATATGACTTCTATATAAACAGTAATTTCTGACTTCAGTACAAGGGCATGGATGTAATTTGTGAACATAAATGATACTTCTGTGATGTCAACATTACAGTCGATATTATTACATGTATATATGTTTTGTAGCTTAGGAGGGACTTATGGAAGATTAGTTGTTGCAAACTAAATAAGTTGCCTCATTAAACAAAGTTTTTATTATTATTATTATTATTATATTCTTATACCCCCATTTTTTCCAAAAACATGTAAGTAATTTTTATAAAAGACGTGCACATTTATCAAACAGGATATTCTCTATTTTTAAAACATGCAGCAGATTTTCAGATTAAATAATAGATGCCACTAAAAGAAATTTAAAGCTAACATTATTGTTATGGTTGGTTAAAATAAAAGTTTACTTCAACATACTATAAGAGGTAAATATATACCATTAATATTCGAAACAAATCCCGCATTTGATGCCTCAAAATATATATGTTTCGCACGTGCTAGTTTTGATGGTATGAAATAATTTATCCTATTTAATTTAAGTCTTTAGTTTACGTCATCTCGTTTTGATGGCGGTATCAAATGGTCGGGTAAATCTGCCGGAAGATCGTGACCTTCCAATTTGATCTTAATAAGATGATTGGCCAAGGCCCATTCTTCTTGGTCCAGCATTCCGTCTTTATCAACATCAGCTAATTTCCAAACTTTACTTAATACTGAATTTGGTAATTTGGATTTCACTAATTCCGATTTGGCAGCAGCGCCAGTAATTTTACCATTGATAGGATTGAGACGTTCAAAGGTGGAGTTGAATTCTGGTTGTTCTTGTGCCACGACCCATTCATGTTCTCCTCGTCCCTTGTCTATACCTTCTCCCCTTCCGATTCCAAATGGACTCTCAGTATAACCCTCAAAAGCTCCTCCGTGGACAACGTTGACATCAGTCTGGTTTGCTTCTTCCAGAGGAATCTGTTGCATCAGTCTTGCTATTTCTGTGGCTAGCATATTATCTACGTTCTCTAAAAGTTTAGGTTTCAAGGGGTGGAACTTGGTGAAGTCGTGAAATTGTAGTTGTTCCTGAAAGAGACAAATTGTAAAAATCTCAGTTGATGATTGGTGTTTACTGCCTGTTCTGATATGGACCCACAGTGGCTCAGCGAGTAATACAATGGTTCACTAACCTGGAGGTCCAGGGTTTGATACCATGTGTTGGCTGAGAAAGTTCCTCGTGATTTTCCAGCATGGTTACTCCCTGTAAGTAATGTAGAACCAACGACCTAGCAAGGAACAGCTTTTAGTCATTCGTATGGGGCAAAAATCCTGAGGTCCTGTGGCGTTGGCTCACTTACAAGGAGGGCCAGGGGTCGATTCCCATCTTGACCGAGAAAATTCTTTAGGATTTTCCAAAATGGTTACCCCCTGCCAGTAGCCTACTGTAGGTTGGAAGGCCAATCAGGCAACAGTTTCGAGTCATTCAGAGTTGGAATTCGAAATAAGAGTAGGCAGAGGCACAGCTGTTGGTGCAAAATTTCCTCATAGCATGGAAGTAACGGTTTTAGATGAACCTGACAAAAAGTCAGACACTAATGAAATAGTAACTGACATTTTCAACTTAGTGCCAGACATGTATTAATAATATCAAAAAAAGACAAATCAGTGCTGGACGACAAAACCTGAATCTGTGCCTGACATTGTCTGTGACAGGTACCTTATTTCCAGGTTTGCGTTAAACCACATTGAACCACATTGCGACAACTGTAGCTAGTAAAATATAATATACATGTACTGAAAGCCTTACCTGCATACGTTTAAGATTTGGGAAATCTCCTGGTGAAATCTGATGTTCCCGTTGGATGGAATCAAAGGTATCCTGCAATTTATTAATTAATTCTTTTTTCTTGTTATCTTTACCAAACACTGACGGCATCTCTTTCTTCAAATGACTGATAATATAAGCATGAACCTGTGAATAAACAAATCATATAGTCAGGGAGAGAAATGTGGTTTAATGTCCACTTGACACAAACTAGGTCATTTTGGGACTAACATATGGTTCAATTTTATTTGAATAATTGGCATGCACGTAGGGTTTTTTAGCAGTTGAAGAAAACTGGAGGACCCAGAGAACACCCACAACGTTGGACAGGCAACCCTACTCCTTGTCACGTACAACCGGGGAATCAAAACCACACCAGTTGACTCAATGACAGACCTTACGATACATTCGGCCACCCAACCACCCATGATGTAGTCAAATGACTGAAATATACACATAGATTTTTAAATAAACAAATCAGGAGTTAAATGACCGATAACATACATGTACATTATATATATATATATTATATATATATATACAAATTATATACCGTACTATACAATTTACATGGGCAAATCTTATATTCAATAGAGTATGTATGGACCTGTTTATACACAATTCATATAGTTAAATGACTGATAAATTAATATTTTTTTCCTTTGGTGGTAGTTACATTACATTTAAAATATAGTCCATTTTATAATATATACACTAGGTCACTAATAAATGAAATTAAATGAAATGGGGTTTAACGTCCTACTGTTCTGCTCCTATACTGGGCTAATGAAGACGGGCATACGCCATACAGTGTGCTACATGTATGAGGGATATTTTGCCCGGGCAGGGGCACTATCGCCTACTCTTGTATCAAATTCCAACTGCCAGGGGATCTTTTACATGCATTCCAATATATACACGGGACCTCGGTTTTTCGTATCATCCGAAAGACTAGACAGCTGTCCTTGTCAGGCCCTCCGTCCTGCATCACTGACAAGGGTGAAGGTCACTAATAAGCTAGATCTAGATGCCTTTGAAGATCTAGATGCCTTTCTATAGAAATTAGATTTATCAAACTGGTAGTATTGATCTGGTCACCCACAGGACTAACTACATGTATCTGGACCTAACATTTGATATCTTTACTTCAAAATTTAACTTGCATACAGAGTCCTTGGCAATTGGAAGAAAGTATATATACATGCATAATCCCAGATGCCTACATTTACTTTCTAATGGCAAGCCAACGTTTGTATTGTAAACTTATCTATTGAATTGTGTAAACCATACCTTGGAACTTGTTTACATCTGTGCAACATGCATGTCATACTATTATAAAAGTATATACACGGTGATATAGTTCAACATACATGTACATATAAATAAGAAATTTATGAAATTGGCTTTAACGTCCTACTGTTCTGACATATAAACAGAACACCCTTATATTTTATATATAATACATGTACATAATGTTTTGTATTATGGAACTGTGCTTTCTGCACCAATCGGGCATTGAGGGCAATTGATTTCCAACTAAACCCCAAGAAACTTTCTTGGCAAACAATATAGACTTGATTAAAAGACAAGGCTTTATATACTTAGTCATAAATCATAAATCTAGTTGATTTACTTCCAGTATGATAATTAATGTATGTATATATTGGCACCTTAACACATGAATCAATGGAATAACAAAGTAGCATTTCTCATTCCAAACGATATCAAAGTTTCAAATCAAGATATTCTTTTTATTTCAACCTAAGCAGTCTTTTCAGGTTTTTCCACCCACGTTTATTCTTTAACGACATCTCTGTCTATATAGCGAACTCTCATAGATGGGTGTTTCCCCTCCGGGCATATTACACGAAAACAATATTTGACTTAGTAAGTGATTTTATCAGGTAACGCCTAATGCCAACTGTGAACCTAAAACCATTTTCTATTTATAATAACATACAGATGATATGATGTAGAAATGTAATTTTCTGTCATCTGCTAAAACTATTCTAGCATTCCTACAGTAACTCAGTTGGTTTTTGGCAAAGAGACAAATTTCTATTCACATAAAATAAAGGTACCGGTAGTGGCATAAATATTGCTAATTTTCTTATGATATACATAGACTGCATTATAAAATTTTGTGGACTCGAATGGTCGGTTCTGGGCTGGAATGGGCTGGGCAGGTTGGTGGGGGAGGGTGTACACCACAACAAACAGACAGAAAAGAAAGAGAAACAGGGTTTAATGTCCACACGACACAAACTAGGTCATTTTGGGACTAACATATGGTTCAATTTTATTTCAATAACTCGCTTGTGCAGAGGGGTCTTTAGCCACAAGTCTGGACAAGTGACCTTACTCCTTGTCACATATAACCGGAGAATCGAATCCACACCAGTTAAGTCAATTTTTGCACATGCTAACCATTCGGCCACCCAAACCCGCTTGACAGAAAAGAAGCTGGGTTCAACAGTTTGTGAGCACAGAGCTCGTTATTCTGAGACTAACATATGGTACTTTATATTTTCTACTTTATGTCTACATGTTGATAATGTAAAGGTGGGAGGGAGAATTTTGGCATCATTACAATGTTTTCATCTACTCTCCTATCAATACATGTACCTCCTTCAAGATAAATAACCTCATTACAAGAACTGTAGTTTATAAGATTATATCTGCTACCTGTAACCTTTAACTTTTAATAAATCTTCAGAAAGTACCAAGATATACATGTATTATTACTATAAAATTATTCTCCCATCTCGTATAAAGAGAGAGAAAGAGAGAGTGAAATGGGGTTTAACGTCCATTCCACACAAACTAGGTCATTTCAGGACTAACATGTGGGTACAAATTGTATTTCAATAATTCCCTTGAATGGAGCGATCTTTAACAGAGGGAGGAAATCGAAAGGACCCGGAAAAAACGCCACAAGTTGGACAGACGACCCTACTCCGTGTCACCATACAGATCTTAAGATACAACGCACATGCACTAACCCTTTGACCATCCAACTGTCTCCCTCTCATATAAATAATAACAGTTGCTGGACAGCACATACAAATACAAACTACATGCTAAAACTAGACAGATATTGACTCAATACAAACAAGGTGATATCGGGACTAACATGTTTTATATTTATTTCACTAATTTTCTTGCACAGGATCTTAATGGAGATAATCGATTGAATTAAATTCTCTTTATTCCAAAAATAGTGTCAACCGAGTGAAAGGGAGAATTTCAGAATACAACACATGTGTTGACTGCATAAAAAATATTTCAACCAATCATGACAGTTGAAACATATTTGTATCTTAAAATATGCCACGATTCTACTCACACCACCCAATCTGTCAGGACTGTGATAGGGTTGAACTCTGTATCGCTTGATTGTAATTCTGTCAATTCAAGATGTTCCAGACGGAGACTCGAGCACCTTAATGGGCTAATGAAGACGGGCATACCCATACATTGTTCTATGAGGGAGAATTTCAGAATACAACGCATGACAGTTGAAACATTTGTATCTTAAAATTTTGCCTGGGCAGCGGCACTATCACCTACTCTTATATCGAATTCCAACTGGGAAGGGATCTTTTAAGTGCATTCCAATGTATACACGGGACCTCGATTTTTCGTCTCATCCGAAGGACTAGACAGCTGTCCTTGTCAGACCCTCCGTTCTGCACCACTGACAAGGGGAAACCACGGCCGAAAATCTGGATGAACTTTCTCGGCCAATGCAGGGATCGAACACCCGACCTCCAGGCTAGCGAGCCAACCACTTTGGTCAATAGAGGGATCGAGGTTAGCAAGCCCACATCTTACTCACTCAGCTCCAATAACATTTAAAGTGAAGATGCGCTACTCATCTTTAAATCCACACTACTTTTGCTTTTTTTTATTATTAAAAATCAGAAAAATCACTAATTTTATATCACACAGCATGCTTTTCCCACAATTAGAAATAGCATATCTATAAAGTCATGCCCAAGATTTATTTTTAGAAATCTCTTAAAACTGAATGAGTTACATGAATTCTGAAATTCTAATCAAAACCAATCTTCCACTCAGCAAGTAAAACATCAAAGAGAACATTATGACATATTCTGGGGAAGGTAACTCTATCCGGTGTGTTTATTACCTGAAAGCAGGCGGCCATGGCTTGAATCATTTAGTAACTTGATCAGGTTGTCCCTAGGTGCAAACCTATTTCACTAGGAAATAGTAGATCTCATCAACTAAATAATTAGGTGCTATAGCTTACTACAGCATTTTTCATCCTCATAAATAAATTCTACCTCGACTTATTGACAACAAACAACTTTAATAAATACCATCAGTATCCACATGGTAAAAAATAACTCTCTCGTGGAAATAACGATTTTAGTTCAACCTGACAAAATGTCATTGTGAACGCTGTGCAAGAGATGCATTAATTAATTATAATTGATCAAAAGGAACACACAATCATGATAAACCTATGCAATACAAATTGCTGGACAACTGAGGAATTGTTGTTGGAAAAGTAATTTATTTCCACGCTTGCTTATAAAGAGAGAGAAATGGGGTTTAATTTGAACTCAACACAAACTAGGTCATTTGGGGACTAACATATGATTCAAATTGCATGTAAGGGTCTTAAGCTGTGGGAGTAATCTCCACGAGCGAGATTTACACAGATTATAAAAGAAGATAGAGAGATAGAGATAGTTTAACGTCCACACAACACAAATTAGGTCATTTCGGGACTAACATATGGTTCAATTTTATTTCAATAATTCGCTTGCTCGTAGGGGTCTTTAGCAGTGGGATGAAAAAGGGAGACCCGGAGGAACCCCACAAGGTTGGATGATTTCAAACAGGGAGATAATCTACTGTTGATATTTTGATTTTGTTATCCTAACTAAATATTAAAATAATGAATAGGAGTGTGGATACGCTGTGGGAAATTATGTATTGTCCGAAAAATATCAGTGGTTACCCAGATAGCCTCTTCAAAGCTGGGAGCCATGGTGGCTCAGAGAGTAAGTGGTCGTTGGCTCACTAAACTGGAGGTTTTATGTTCGAACTTCGATCCCTGTGTTGGCGCGCACGTAAAAATCTATTAAGTCTATTAAGTCATATCCAGTGGCATGACA